ATGGTTTGGGGGACACGAGGTCCTGGGGTTCTCCACACTGGAGTATTGGATAGTGTTCTGCTTCTTTTGGGTGCTGTTGAGTGGCCACTGGGGTTCATGAGTAGCTTTCCGTTGCTTCCTGAAGGGGCATCATAACAAGGCAGCTTTAACCAGATCTGTGGTTGGGAAAGGAAGAACCAACAGTGGACAGAGATTTGGGGATAGAAACAGTTGGTCTCGCCTAAGAGTCAAAGCCAGAGGCTGTCTCATCCTCTGGGCTTCTTATCTATCACCAGCATGAGTACTGGGGACCATGGACCCAGGCTGGGACCCAAGGGACACAGCACATTGGCAATGAAGAGAAGAAGGCTGGTCACATAGGCTGTTGTTTTGTAAGGAAAAAGAGAGGTCAGGAGTCAAGGTGGCGTTAGGAGACAGGAGTGGGAGCCTCGTTGGGCCAGAGCACAGGTTGTGGTCCCAGTGGCTCAAGGACATGGAGTCAGGCAGAAGTCCTAAGGAACTGCTGTCCCCACTGTACTAAAGGCTACTTAGCAAGCCCATAAGCTCCGCCTCCTCTGTCATCTTGACCCTGGTCACAGGTGACATGGTGACCTGTGTGTGAATTTCTGATTGGCACAGAGCAGACCCCGTTAGTCTTCCTTTCTTTGGTTGTCCGTTTCGCTCCCGAGTGTCTCAGCTAACATGTGGCTGATTGGAAGGTGGCGTCCTTGAACTTGGGGTGCCAGATATCATACCAGCTGGCCACTAAAAAGGCTATCATCTGGAGTGTTCAGAATTCTTGTGGGTTGGATGAACCTTCCACGTCTGATATGTTTATCTAATTATTCTTTATCAATAAAAAACAGAGTCAGATATCAGGGTAAGAACCTGAATGATTAGAGAAGCAGCGGAGAAGACATCGGTGACCTCCTATTTCTTCCGTTCCTCCATCCAAAAGGCTGAGATCCTGTCTCCTATCTGTCCTCAGTCCTCCAAAACCTCTATGGTTAATTTTGGTCAGCTAGTGACTAGCTCTGCCCTCTGACTCAAAGAAAATTTGATTGTCAGAATGCAATCAAAATATCACACAGCACACATCAGGTGCCATGGGACAGGTGAGCAGAGGGGACCTTACTAGGCCTGGTAAGGAAATAGCCAAATTCTTCACTTGCTGTGGTGGTGCTGTTTCTTCAATGGGACTATTTTCCAAACTGCAACAAAGAAAGCATATAAAAACGACACTGAGCCCTAGGAGCCCTCCTAGGCCCTATGGGAACTCCATGAAAATTCTGGGGAACCCTTTCTGAGAGCAGCTCTGGTTAGACTGGGGCCCGGTGGGGCCTGAGGCCTCTGTGTGCTTGGCTGCCTTTCCTGACCATTAATCGCTACTAAGTGTCATTACCGCTAATAAAGTTAACGGACTTTATACTGGGCTTCTGGAGCCATCAATCTCAGGGCATATTACGTGAAATTAAAAGGGCAGGAGCCTGTTGCTGAGTAGGAGAGTGTTTTCAGGGCCACAAATGCAGCTGGAGAATTCTGATTCTACAGCCAGGCACAATATGTGATAACAAAGGACAATGACCTTAGGAGAACAAGCAACCCCCAGCCATGACTCTCCAGTGTGAGCGTGTCAGGCAAGAGCGGGCGATCCTCAGGAAGGCTCTGGGGCCCAAGCCAGAGGTATTTCCTGCATCCTCCTCTGCCACACTCAGAGCACTTGGTTCCTTCGTTCTTCTTGGCTCAGCTTCCTCTGCTTCTTTTCTGGGTCTCAGACCCAGCAATGCAAGGAGAGAAAGGAAGAGAAAGCAAGAGTGTTATCCAAATTCTAAATCCCCAGAGAAAAGGCTGATTTTCATCAGTTCATCCCTGATCCAACCAGTAGACCAGAGCAACTGAGTTTGAGGCCAGCCTGGTTATGTGAAACACAGTTATGGACAGGGACCATAGGCCAACCATGATAGACAGAAGAGTGGCAGAAAACCCAATCATGTGTCCATAATATTTTGAAGTCCTCAGTACTAGGTACTCAAAAAGTGGCATGTGTATATGTATATGTATATATACCACAATAATATAATGAATGCAATATTTTAATGTATTATATACTATAGAATATAATAGTATTATAATGGTAAAATAATATCAATTCTTTTAATTAATTTTTCAAATATTGATAATCAAACCTAGCTCATCCTAGGTAAGCACTTTACCATAGAGCTGAACTGTATGCCGGTCTTACAAGTTGTTCTGTGGTTTAGGATGCCTATGGACCATGACCTTTGATCCCAGAAATCGGGAGGCAGAGGCAGGCAGATCTCTGAGTTCAAGGCCAGTCTAGTTTTCTGAGTGATAGCGAGTTCTAGGACAACCAGAACTACACAGAAAAATCTATCTTGGAACAAACAAACAAAAAAAAAAAGGACCCAGGACTAAATCTAGACAAACACCCTATCAACTGGGTTGCATTCCTAGACCTAACTCTGTGGTGTGTGTGGGTGTGTGTGGGGAGGGGTTGTGGGGGGGTGTAGGGGGAGTGGGCAAATGTGTACTACCGCATGGAGGTTGGAAGACAACCTTGGGCTGTGGTTTGCCTTCCACCGTGTTTGAGACAGGGTCTCTTTGTTATTGGCTGCTGTATGTGCCTTGCTAACTGGCTGTACCACCTGCCTTCACTTCCCATTTCACTGTAAGGAACACTGGGATTACAGACACTTGCTACTGCTTCTGGATTTACATGGGTTCAGTAGATTTGAACTCAGGCCCTCATGCTCCCAAGGCAAACACTGTTACTCAACTGAGTCACTTCCCAGCCTCTATTATTATTATTATTATTTTTTTAATGAATATGAAACAGGCTTTAAAGGATGTGTAGCCCCATTGGCCAAAATGTCCATCATTACCGTTTTCTTCTTTGGTATCTGCTTCTTCAATCAAAGTCCCAATTTCTGAAACACAAATTGTGTAAGCCAGCTATCCCTCACCCAGGCCCTGGTGTGGAGAAGAGAAACTTTTGAAAGCTACATGACCTGTGTTCCCTGTAGCCCTGGAGCTGCCGTACACACTGGAAACCATTCTAGGTGGGGCCTCGCCAGCAGGACCTGACCTCAGGCTCTGCTTCTTGCCTGCCCAGGGTCAAGCTCTGAGGGTTTCCTGCCAGGCTGCAGGGAGGGGTCTGGGTATAGGCCTGGTGGACTGGAAACTTACCCATTTGCCCCCTGCCTGATTAATGTTTAACGGGCCCCTGCCCTCACCGCGTCTGGGAGGGGAGCCGGGTACAGGCTGGGCTTGGGGGAGCCGATAGCATCTGTCTGTGCTCAGTGTTTCGGAGATATGCTCCACACCGGGTTGGGCGCACCTGATAGACTTGGAGACTACAGGGGCACCTGGGACCTCGCCAGGACCCCCACTTTCCAGTGAGACTCCCTATTTCTCAAGCAGACAGAGAGGCTGTGGCATCTGGCCAAATGGCCTGGCTGAGGCAGGCAACTCCAGCAGTAGAGCCAATGCCCTGGACTCTGTGGGACAAGGGCCTCTCTGACTCCTCAGGGCTTGGCCACAGGACTTAACCTTAGTTAGTGGCACACGAACAAAGGTGACAGGTGCCACATCCAGTGGAAAAGTTGACAGCCCCCATCTGGTCCCACCTTTGCTCTCTTACCCTGGCTGAGAGGCTGAAAATGGTGTGTGTTCCACCCACATGGTATGCACCAGGGTGGGGACAATGAACATCTATCCCTGTCATAGGGAGAGAGGTTCAGGGAGATGGAACAGTCCTAATTCTGGATCACGACTTGCCACCAACTGGTCATGCCTACCATCTAAGCCACATGTCACCTTCACATCAGGGCAGAGGGAGACACTGCCTACTTCGAACACAAGGCACCTTGCAAGAGGAGAGAAGGAAGTGCCAGCCAGCAGGAAAGCAAGCCTGTCTGGCTAGCCTGTGCTTTCTATGTCATCCCCACAGCAGCCCCAAGAGGCGAGGGTGTTAGTGTTTATGTATGCCAAGAAGGGAGCCAAGGCTTCAAGGTTGCAGTTAGGACATGGCAGGGTTAGGCTTAGAATCTGGCAGCTTGACTCTAGGATCCATGATTTTGGATATAGATCATGAAGTCTGGGATTTGAGACTCCCTCCCTCCCTCTCTCCCTTCCTCCCTTCCTCCTTCCCTCCCTCCTGCCCTTCTTTCTGACATTTCTCCATCCCTCTCTTCCCTCCATCCTTCCCTCTCTCCCTCTTTCCCTCCCTCTCTTCCTTCCAACTCCCTTTTCCTTTTCCCAAGCTTCTGTTTATACCAGGCACCAAATGGCCAGATGGTTGATGATCTACCTGGGATCCTGCAAACAAGCTAGACTATCATGGGCTTCCTTGGGCAGCAATATAACCAAGGGACAGAGGGACACAGGGGCTTTGGCTGGTGTTCAGCCTGCACTCCCTGTACTTAACCCTGGTAGCAAGGTGGCATTCCCCTCCAGGAAGTGAGTAATGCCACACATCACATCTCCCATACTTGCCTGAGCACAGCAGCCACCCAGGGGATGCGGCGAAAGTACAGCTTTCCAGGCCCTGCTCCAAAGCTGAAGAAACAGAAAACTCAAGTGCAGGACTTGGAAATCTGTGTTTGTCTGGAACAGATCTTGCTGTGTAGTCCAGGCTGGCCCTGCACACACAGCATCCTCTTGTCTTAGATCCCCAAGTGCAGGGATTGCAGGCATGCACCACCACACTCAGTCTGGCTCTGTGTGTCCAGACACTCGGGATGACTTTCCCAGTCGGGCAAGTTGAAGGAGGAGAAACAAGAACAGACTAGATTCCAGAGAACTTGGGTTTGTGGTTCTACACCAATGCTTGCTACTTTGGTCTTCTACTCTATAAGATGGGGGCATCACCCCTATGGGACCAGCATGCCGTCCCAGGGGGTAACAAATGACGACAGCCTCTTTCCATCCCTGTGGGGTGAACTTTTGCCCTCCACAGGCAGGAACCCCAAGCTTACCATCTCCCTTTTTACCCTCTCCAGTCTGACAGGACGTGATGTCCTGACGCCCTTCCCAGGCCTGGGCACAGCAGCAGCCCCGGCACAGGCTGGTGCCCACCTGAAGCAGTGTGACCTGCTGAAGCTGTCCCGGCGGCAGAAGCAGCTCTGCAGGAGGGAGCCTGGCCTGGCTGAGACCCTGAGGGATGCGGCACATCTGGGGCTGCTGGAATGTCAGTTCCAGTTCAGGCAGGAGCGTTGGAACTGCAGCCTGGAGGGGAGGACTGGCCTGCTCCAGAGAGGTGGGGAGGACGGCAGGGAGAACTTGGAGGGAGGAGGAGGACAGGGAAAGCCAACACAAATGGAGGGAGAAAGGGCTGGCAGGAGGTTATGGGCGGTGAGCCGGTTAGGCCCAGGCCTTACTGTGATGACTACCTGGGCACAGTCCCAAGTGAGAAGAGACCTGGGGGAGTTGGTGAGGTCTGCTGAAGGTCAGTGGTTTGGGGGACAGAGGAACAAAGATAACACAAGAGAGGAAAGGACACAGCATTCCTGGAAGAGGCGAGAGAGGAGGTGGGTGGTCCCAACCACCTAATAAGTGATCCAAATGTGCTAGTCAGGCGGATTCTTTTGTCCACACGCTCATCTGTCGCCCTTCATCACAGCTGTCGATGCATCATTCCCCCCTCCCCTTCCCACCTGATTCCCCCATCCTCCTCATCCTCCTCCCGCCCCATCATCCATCTGCTGAGCATCCGCAGAAGTGTGCAGTGAGCCCAGGTACTATGCAAGGGGCCAGAGGCACAGGCTGAATGTGACCCAGTTGCCCTTGGAAAGTGCACCTTCTAGAAAGAGAAAAATGGGTCACAGTATGTCTCCATTGCCATGTGGAAGGGACACAGATGCTTTCTGTTGTTGTTATTATTCATTTTGGGAGACTAGGGCTCTGTAGCCCAGGCTGGCCTGGAACTCACTTTGTGACTTGTTCCAAACGCTCGGCAATCGTCCTGTCTCAATCTCCCAAGTGCTGGAACTGTAGGTGTGAGCCACTCACCTGGCTTGGATCCACAGTGGGGGAGGTTCTAGAAAACTGCAGTGATGTTCATGCCCGCGGACAGCCCCGCCCCCTGCCCTAGGCCAGCGGCTAGGCACTCTATGGCAGGGAGGGTCTGAGATGCAGCTAGCGGCCTGCTTCCCTTTCTTTTCAACTCTCACCAGTGTCCCAGATACACTGAGAGCAGAGGACTGGGGGAGGCACGCTTGGAGCCCCTTCCAAGCTGTGAGAGCACAGTTGTTCCAGTACTGAGTGGATGTCAGATAGGACCCCCGTTCTGTCCTTGGGGGGAGACATTAGACAGCTCAGAAAACCAGTGAAACAGGCTGTCCAGCTTGTCACATAAGCACTTGACGTCAGGATGACTGTTTAGCTTTAGCTTGGTCCTGCCTAGGTGCCCACATCACTTTTTACATAAGTTACTGAGATTAGCAGCCCAGCCCTGCTGCCCTCTGAGAGCCGGGCACACACTCCAGAGTAAGTCTGGAGGCTGTTTAAGGGGCAGCTTTCGGCCTGAGTCTGAAAGGCAGGTAGCAGGAAGACCTCACACCGCTGTGTCCTTAGGTTCCCACTCCCTCACCCTACTCACCATCCACCCCACCCCACTCCTACCTTCAAAGGGCTGCAGACGGCTTCTGAGCTTCCTCTCCTCCTGCACAGGCTTCAAGGAAACAGCCTTCCTGTACGCAATGTCTGCAGCTGCCCTCACGCATGCGCTAGCCCGGGCCTGCAGTGCTGGGCGCATGGAGCGTTGCACCTGTGATGACTCCCCTGGCCTGGAAAGCAGGCAGGCCTGGCAGTGGGGCGTGTGTGGTGACAACCTGAAGTATAGCACCAAGTTCCTAAGCAACTTCCTGGGCCCCAAGAGAGGAAGCAAGGACCTCCGGGCCCGAGCCGATGCCCACAACACCCATGTGGGCATCAAGGTGAGTGCCATGCCAGGCAGGGTGCAGAGGCAGGGAGCAAGATCCACGGGAGGCCAGCACCCTACCCTCAGCATACATATGTCCCAGGATGAACTTCAGACCCCTGTCAGTGAACCTCCTCTGAACATTACTGGGCACCAAGGGCACAAACCCCTAGACAGCATCATAGTGGATCCAGGCTTCGTGGCATCACACCTTGATAAAACAGGAAAGGAATCCCCAGTGCAACAACAAACAACCACCAGGCCTCCTCCATTTTGTAGAGGAGAGAGGAGGCCCAGAGGGGGAGGGACTTAGCTGAGGTCACACAGCCCACGAGAGAACTGAGAGCGATGATTCTCTAGGTCTACGGGAGTGAGAAGGCAGGAAGGGACCAGAGTTTCAGTTCTATTAGAACACTGGCCTGGTGCGTTCAGTTGTGCCGGCTGTACATCACACAAGAACTCTGGGCCAGTGGAGACGCTGTTGGCCGAGATCTGGCTTGTACTGCCTTTGCCCAGGAGTGCACTGCCTAGGAGAAGAAAGACCTCTTCCAAGGTCTCAGGTCGCAGTGACTGGTCCCATTTGTGGCCTTCACGTGAGCCTTGCCTCTTTCATTCCGCTGCGACTCTGTCGGAACTGGCATGGCGGGACAGGCTGAGAGCACTGACAGGCCTCCATTCTGCCTTTCTCTGCAGGCTGTGAAGAGTGGCCTGAGAACCACCTGTAAGTGCCACGGTGTGTCGGGCTCCTGTGCCGTGCGCACCTGCTGGAAGCAGCTTTCCCCGTTTCGCGAGACTGGCACGGTGCTGAAGCTACGCTATGACACGGCTGTCAAGGTATCCAGTGCCACCAACGAGGCTTTGGGCCGTCTGGAGCTATGGGCACCTGCTAAGCCAGGTGGGCCTGCCAAGGGCCTGGCACCTCGCCCCGGGGACCTGGTCTACATGGAAGACTCTCCCAGTTTCTGCCGGCCTAGCAAGTACTCTCCAGGCACAGCAGGCCGGGTGTGTTCTCGGGACACGAGCTGCAGCAGCCTGTGCTGTGGGCGAGGCTACGACACCCAGAGCCGCATGGTGGCTTTCTCCTGCCACTGCCAGGTGCAGTGGTGCTGCCATGTGGAGTGCCAGCAGTGTGCACAGCAGGAGCTGGTGTATACCTGCAAGCGCTAGGCCTCCACCAGGTGAGACTGTGGTACTGCCAGGACTCCCGCCACACAGGACACCGGCTAGCACCTACCGGCCGACGCACAGGCTGTGCACCAGAGTGTGCCCCTCATCTCCCCCAACAGATCGTTGGCCTGCCTTCTGCCTTCCTCACTATTCAGAGAGAGAAACAAAGCCCTGCCTCTGAGTCCCAGGATCGCCAACCTGGCTGAGGACTTGGGACAGAACAGACTGAGAAGAGAGGGGAATCTATGAGGACCAGGGTAGTGCATGAGTGATGCTATGCCGGAAGAGAGGAACAGCTTCCTGTCTCAAGGCCAATAAAAATTGGGAGGATGTGGAAGAGGAAGGCAGAGCCGGCTGGAGCGGGGAGCGTTCAGCTGAGCATGGCCAATCTGTTGTGACCCCACTCTGATGGCAGAGAGCTCTGGGTGTCACATGCCTGCCTTGGTGGGGAGGTGGGGGGACACTTTGTGCACTGAAGACTGTTCAGGATGTTTATTGGGAGCAAGGAAAGCTTTTCAGGCTTGGGTGGCTCAGGTCACAGAGCCCGTGTACCCTGAAGTCTATGTCCTGGCCCTCAGGGCTGCCGCTTTGTGTCCTTGTCTGAAAGCCGAGTCCCCCACAGCCATTCAGCTCTGCTCAATGAGACCCCTAATGATCATAAGAAGGGCAGTGCCGGAGCCAGTCTCCACAGTGGGACTCAGATAATGCAACCAGGGTTAAGTCTGGGAGACAGTGACCCTTTCTCTTTTCCTTGGTGGCCAAAGGAACCTTTAATCACAGCCCAGAGGAAAGGAGCTGTGTCCTGATGGCTGGATGAGATATGGCAGGCTCTGTATTGAAACACCACCCTGGAGAGTGTTCTACCAATTCCCTGTGACCGGGGTCTCCCTGAGCTGCGAGGCCCCCATACCAGTAACAGAAGAATGATTGGCCCCTAAGCCACATGTCTGCTTACTTTCCTGCTCTCATGCTGCTTGTTCAGGCTTTAGCCCTGGCTAAGTCTTTCCTAAGCCTCCTCTTCGGCGGTCCCATTCCTTTACTAATGGTTCCTTCACTTGGGCTCCTATCAGAGGAGCAGAATGACTGATGACGGATCAAGTAGGCATTTTTAATGTCCCCTGCCAAGGTCCTCTGTGAAAGGAGAGAAATCAGTGCCCAGGTATAGGCCCATACAGATGCCCACACATAGCCTGGCCAGGGTCAGGTTTCTCATGGAGCATTGCGTATCTCTCCATCCCAGGACAAGGCCCTAACTGGGGTCACTGCTGGAGGCTGTATGCTTCCCCAGAGCAGGGCCTGAGGCCAACCAGGAGGAAGTGATCTCCTTTGGAAAGACTTTGACCACTTGGCCTGCTGCCCTGTACCCTCCTGTGAGTTCCCTTCCGCCCTGAACCCTGTCGGGGTTACTACCCCTCTACAGGAACAGGAAGCTTCAGAATCAGTGGGTGCTCAGCGAACATCACCCACGCCAGCTCCAGGAAGGAGGCGCTAGGGGTCAGAAGGGGCCACCCTATCTTCCATGGCCCAGGGCAGCACAAGAAGGCTGGAAAGATCTCTGATGGCAGACTCTCCAGAGAAGAGCCACCATGACCTGAGACCCGTCCTTGGAACAACTTTGCTGACTGAAGAAGCCCATCGACAGCCTACAAGGGGAAAGTAGACTGAGGGCTGGTTTTCTACCTTTCTGCTGAAGACTGACTTGTTCCTTGGTAATCTGAGGCATCCTTCTCCTCTGTGACCCCGACTCCTGCTCTGCCTGGAGGTTACACAGGCAGGAAGGGAGCCTGAAACAACTTGGGGACCAGAGCACTCTGATCTACAGCCATAACATGGTTAGGGGAGCCGGGGGTGCAGAAGCGTCAAAGTTGGACTTGAACTAGGCTGTGGTTGGTCATTAACACTGATGCCCTAGGGCACCCTCAATCTGGCCCTCTCCCCCCTTTTCCTTTCTTTCTCCATGGCCCCTTTCTTCTTCTTCCCCCCTAAAATCCCACCACTGTCATGCTGGGGCCCCTCAGACTGTAACTTTAAGGGAGACGTTCACAGGGTATTTCTGCCTACCTCATACATATAGTTTTTAGAAAATAATTTATATAGCTAAGATATATGGGAAAGTATTTATGTTATTTATATAGCTTCTCTATTTCTTGGTCACCATATGTGGGGTTCACGTGTTTACCCAGAGGCCTCTAGGGAAATACAACTGCATCTGCCAGGGGTGCTCATGGAACTAGATGCCAGCAGGGGTGCTCATGGAACTAGATGCCAGCAGGGGTGCTCATGGAACTAGATGCCAGCAGGGGTGCTCATGGAACTAGATGCCAGCAGGGGTGCTCATGGAACTAGATGCCAGCAGGGGTGCTCATGGAACTAGATGCCAGCAGGGGTGCTCATGGAACTAGATGCCAGTCGTTGAGGAAGGTCACAGTTACTGTGTCACATGGAAGGAAGTCTGTCTTGGAGCCTGGAAGCGCACGTCCCTCCTGAGACTGAGCAGAAGCTCTCTTGTAAAGTCTGCAGATTCTCCGCCTCTGGGCGCCAGGGGCCTTTCTGCTCTGTCCAAAGGGTGTTGCTCACAAAGGACAAAAAGGATGGGCACTTTCCATTTTTAGAAACGCTTCTATCTTTACTCTCCCTTGACTTCCCCATTTTCCCTATGAGGTTATGTGAGATGAGGCCAAACCACTGTACCCATTTTCCAGATTTGGCCCAGAGGTGGAGGTCTGTGCTTAAAGTCACATAAAAGAGAACAGTGGGCAAATATTGACTTGAACACACCCCAGGAATGGAGGGAGTGGACCTACTCTGAGAGCCAAGGCCATCAGTCTCAATCTGAGCCTAGGAACTAAGAGAGGTCCTTGCCGCATGTGACCCTGGCCTTTCCCCCTGGATGGCATGCTAGTTTGTACAGCAAGCTGAATCTCCTGTCTCAGGACTGGGACTTCCTGAGAAGCCTGGAGAGACAAAGACCCCATGGAGGTCATTCTTGGGGATCCTGCAGCCCACATCACCCAAGATGACCAGGCTATAGCATCCAGCCCCTCTCAGCCCACCGATGAGTTTTGTTTTCTCTTTGAGGTTTTCCGTTTACAAATGAGCTGTTTCCTACTGGATTTCTGATTTTTTTTCTTTGAGACTCAGTGGCATTGGCAAATGGGACTGGCATCCTGACTGGCTGCCAACAGAATGCACGGGGATCCCCAGCGGGCCCAGTGTCCCCTGCCCTTCCTCAAGCCATTCATACTTTCATCTGGCTTTCATGGGCACACAGAACCTGTCCCCTGGTCTAGGTAAAGCCAGCTGTTCTGGTACCCTCTGCCGTCTGGCAGACAGAGGACGACATAGACTGTGCCAGCCCTAAAGATCAGGTCTTCCTCCCCATTGTCTTCCCTCAACAACCGTGAACTTCCGGGGCTTCCCATCTGAGCACATATGAGGACCACAGTGGAAGTCCTTGGTTAAGGGCTGTCACACATCCATCCCGCCTCCTGGTGATTATCCGGGGAGCTCCTAATGGATGCCAGGAGACACTCCGGATGGTAGGGTGCCACAGTGCCCAAGAGCCAGTCCCGGTCTCATGGGGCTGACATGCTGGAGAGAAGAAAGCCAACAAACCAATAAACTATGCAGTGGTTATTTCTGTTTCCTTTTTCATTGTTGTGTGTGTGTTCGTGAGTGTGTACAGGTGCATGTGGGTGTGTGTGGGTGTGCATGTAGATGATGCCTTCTTTTTTTTTTTGAGATAGATTCTTTCACTGGTCTGGGGTTCGTCAAGTAGTCCAGGCTTGCTGGCTTCCCCAATGCTCGAATTACTAGTGTGCACCACCTACAAGCCCAACTTTTTTTATGTGGGTTCTGGGAATTGAACTCAGGTCCTGGATTTGCATGATAAACACTCTGCTGACTGAGCCATCTCCCCAGTCCTAGTGTACTTTTTTTTTTTGTCTTGGTTTGTTGCAATATCACAGTTTGTTGCAATTGCCCAGTAAACGCTGTCACTTGCCCTGGCTAAAGAATAAAGATTGAGAGATAGGAACGTTCCTTATGGCCACCAGCAGGCAGTAGTGCCAGGCTGAAAGCAGATCTGTCGACATCCAAAAGAGAGGTCCTTTCCTCCTAATGTTCCCACGTCTTCTCTTGGGCAGGTAGGGCAAGAACACACCCCTTGTTATAAGTTCCGGGTAAACGGAGGCCTCAAGTAAGGTCATCATCCAACCCAGGTTGCCCATCAAATCAGAGCAGGCTGAACATATTTGCAGGGGCCCCACTGTGTGGCCTGCAACACGGGGAGGATGGGGATCACGTAGAGCAAACAGGGAGCCTTCAGGAGCTTGTGGCCTGAGAGGACAAACAGGGAGCACAGCCGTACAATGGATTCTGCATGAACTCTGAACTCCCAACTTTAGTGTTCTGTTTCTCCCGCACACGCTGGAAAGCCTTCTCTTCCTGGGGCTCTGGTGCAAGGGAGGTGGAAGCAGCGAGTCGGGGCACGGTGGAGCAAACAGTCCTTTCCTCCCGGCTCAGACCTGCCCTGCCCCAGCTCTTCAGCCCTGCTGAAGGCTACATTGTCTCACCTGGGGTCCTCAGGGAGGGAGACAGCCCCGAGGGTACAGTGTTTCCCCTGTACCCCGTTCTAACATGTCTGAGGCCCCATGCTCTTGGGCATGGATTCCAGCTGGTTCTGGACAAATGACAGAAGGTTCCGCACACAGCAGCAGGCTTCGGTTTGTGCAGGGCTTTATCGTCTTCCTCACTTGAGCCTCACCTGACACGCGGCCTCTTCCCTGTCACAGCCAGGGGAAGTGAGGCTGGAATGGTTACCTGGTACACAAGAGGTCTGTCCCTTCTGCCAAGGTGCTCTTTCCACTGCATGTTGTGGAACTGGGGGTGCATGACATGAAAATCCTAAAGATTCAGTAAAGAAATTAAGTTAAATATACAACAAAACAAAACACTTAGTCTTGGCTGGGGAGATGGCTCAGTGAGTAAGAACATTTGCTGTGCAAGCATGAGGACCTGAGTTCTAATCCCCAGTACCCACTTAAAAGCTAGACATGTCCAGTATTGGGGAATGGGGGTAGGAGATAGGCAGATCCTGGGGTTTGCAGCCCAAATGGCCTAGCTGAATGGTGATTCTGGTTCAGCGAGAGACCCTATCTCAAAACAAACACAAGAGAGTGACAGAAGAAGCTAGCCAACGTCCTCCTCTGGTCTCCACACTCACGTGTGCCCCT